TTGGACTGGGATACGACACTGGACAACAGCACACTAGAACTTTATACCTCTTGTCTACACAAACAAAAGAAAATTTTACAAAACCTAGTATTTAATTTTACTTCTGCTGAACTCATTTCACAGTTCAACAACACCCTCAGCAATGCTTCAAAAGTATGAAGTGCCCCTAAAAAAAGTCCTATCATGTGAAAAACAGCAGTTTTTCATAAAATCTGATTTACCTACTGGAAAAATCACTTAAACAATCTATTGGTCTAATAAGTATTGATCCAAAGTCATAAATACTATGGATATTTTCTACCCACAAAGTTATTTCATGATATCACTTCCAAAACTCATATTTTTTATTTCCCAATGAAAAAAGATGGTAACAAACATATTCTCGTTTGAATATCATACTTACGGCAGATTTCATCAGAATTGTCCCCGCAGTCGTCGTCCCCGTCACATCTCCAGTGTTGACGTACACAGTTACCATTCTGACATCGAAACTGATCCGAGGTACAGTTCTTGTGTTCTTTAAAGAGATAAAAAAAATTAGCGTACATGCCTTGGCAAGTTTGTTACAATCATTTGAAGATCTTGTAACTACAACACATGTGAATGCTGTGTGTATAATTACTGCTGAAATGACATTAAATAAAGCTTCAAAATGTGCGTAAAAGTTGCTCTTAAGGTCAATTAAAATGCATTCATTCATTATCCTGAGTAGATTGACATTTATATTTATGAACCTAATAGTAGGGTTATAATTTTAGAGATCTATAAAGAACTGATGGGTCAAACTCTACATTAAAGGTAAAATGTTGCATTTCACAAGGACATGTGGTCGACAAAAATCAAACTTAAATGGGAAACCTTGATTGATCTATATTGGCTCTGACATCTAAACATTTTCACAGGCTAAGGGGACCTACTTTGTCCATTTTTCATGTCTGTTGACTGACAAATTACACTGAAAATAACAGACCAACAGAGAGATGCAAAGTTCCAAGTTCTAAACTTACATACTAATGCCATCTGACATACTGAAAATCTTGGGATAGCTTGACAAACTAAAAGATTTGATAGATCAAAAGATGTAGGTTACCCATGTGTTTCCGAATTGGTACCATTTTACTAAATAAATAAAATGGTATTGCCATTTTATATTATTTAAAGACATTCTGATTCTTAATACGAAGATGTAACCTTTGTCTAATGAGTGGGCTTTAGCTGGAAATACAACATATGGAAAAATAGTCCTATAACAACACTAAAAATGAATGAACAAAAGTAGTGGTTAGTCAAGAACATGAATACATGTCAATTAAGTTGTCAAAACATTCTTTACTATCTTACCACAGCTTATCTCATCACTGCGGTCATCACAGTCATTATCTCCGTCACATATCCAGTCCTGACGTATACACTTGCCATTGGAACACTTGAACTGGTCTGCTCCACACGTAGGGGGATCTGGAGTAGAGAAGAAGAGGACGCTGAGTAAAGGATGAGGAAGCTGTATTTTCCTGAAGTCCATTAGCTATAACTGTCCCCAATTGTGTTTTTATTCCTCATTATGGCCTATCACCAAAATCAGTTTTTTTTTTAAATAAAAATTGTTACTGATCTATTCCCATCCTTTTAAAAAATGTCAGTTTATTTCTTTACATGATAAAATCAAATATATCTCAGTGTGTGTCTACCCTTACGTGTTTCAAAGTTTATCTTTTTCAATGTCATTTGATACTGAGGGTGTAAAAAAGCCTTACAATCTCAGCATAAGAGAGAGTGAAAAAGTCTTATCAATCTTCATAATTTCACCATTTCTTCAAAACACTTAATATCACAAGATGGGGCGTGCATCCAGACACCCACTTGTTATTGACACAGCTGTCATATCAACATCTTCCAGATATGCAAACATATTATATTTAATAATAAAAGCATCATCACAGGAGGCTGAAGTAACAGTCTAGACATCGTGTTATCAGCAGGAACCACAATATCACCCGCCCCTGTACATCTACCTGTAACCCAGAGATAACAAAAGAGCCTACACCATGAAGAGAGACCCATTAAAAAAATATCCTGTTATGATTAGATTAGCAATTTCTACTCAATCACAGCCCTGCTTGTTGAATGATTATCATGTCAAAATTTATAGAAAAAACATTTGGAGTTGCTTATTATCTCCAATAGAATGTATGGTTGCTGTTCTGATTGTGCAGAGTGGTGTTAAAGAAGATACAGGATATTTAAGCTGATATCGAACTTGTGTGGTCTCACCCTAGGATGCTATCTGTATTAGCATGTAACGCTGCAGTCATTCTACTTGAAATATCCTAGATGGACAGCTAATCAATCTACCTTTCATGAAGATGGGTTACTGCAGCTTTTTTTTTTTACCTTGGACACCCATCAATCATACTTCCATTCATTTTACCTTGTAAAATTTTTAGTAAAGATTCCAGTTTCCTGTTTTTTATTGTAAATGAATTGGATTCTCCTGTAAAACAATGAACCCGGGCAGGCTATAAAAACGCACTTGATATCTCTTCAAAGTGCAGCCGGATATCCTTGTATTCTCTTTTAAGAATGAGTTTCGTCTAAACATTTCCTCCAAAGCTACATGGATCAATCTATTTTTTCATAAATTCTCATGCACAACCACTTTGTGAACAGATTCACAAAGAGAAAAATATACTTTCAGAGGATAGCATATTTAAAATAATGAAATACAGATCATTCACAAAAACAAAAAGACTGATGATAAAATGCAAGCAGGTGGACTGGGATGAAGGCAAATTCCTCACAAGCTAACCTATCAGTATAAATTAATCAAAAAATAATTAGATTCTATCTGATAAAAAGATGGCAGGTAAACATACATCATCACATCCCTGCTTAATCCAGATAACACCGATTAGGAAGTGATGATAAAACAAAGGGAAAACCACAGCATATCTACCAGTAGGAATACTGCTATATACCAAGGAAGTAATAATTTACTAGACCAATCATTTCCTGCACTTAATTCAGGGACCCAAAAGTCATCAACCTGTCAACCAGACTCCATCCCGAGTTTGAAAGATCACTGGAAACTCACCTCCATCCTTGGCACACCCATCCACAGTTTACAAGCCCCTGAAACCCAGGGTGCAAGCCTCAGCCCATTAGGTAAAGCAGAGGCAATGAGGTAATCTTCTCATTTGGTATTCACCAGCTCTATAGTCAAACCTCCCTAAACCCTCACCTGTCAACACTCAGGCTCCTACTCCAGAGTCATGTGTAAGGAGACATGGCAGGATTACCCACCTCTCATCTGTAATGTCCACATCTTGAGGAGGATCAGCACAGCACAGTATCACTGGGACAGGGAGGTAGACAAGATGACCACTTTCACCCCTCCTTTCACAGGGGGTGTTATAGGTGGATTAAATAGGCACGATATGGTATATAGGAGATAGGCAATTAATCTGATTCAGTGTAAAATTAATTGTGATGAGGATTGAAGTTGTAAAGGAGTTGTGCTCTGCTGAATCTGGTCAACCTTTGAGTGTTTAGAAATGGAAATTTAGTGGCCAAGAATTTTAGAAGAAACTTATAATAATGATGACAAAAAATGGAGCCAAAGCCTAATTTCTATATTACTATCTATTTCTATGAATAAACAAGTCCAGTCAGTTTTATAATTTATGCCTGGTCTTTTATTAGGTCGGTACAATCCTGAACTGATCTTTTCTCCCTGTAGTGCACACACATGTTACTGACATATATATATATATATATATATATATATATATATATATATATATATATATATATATATATATATATATATATATATATATATATATAAAATCCAATTTGCTGTGTATGTGGTGTTCAAAATTATCATTCACAATTACATGACTATCACTTGGCCTATAAGAATGCCTTGAAGACTACATTGATTAATCTCCTCAAAATCTTTTCAAGAGGTCTCCAATAAAGCAGACTTGTACATCACTGTCTATCTAGCTAGCAAACAGGGCCACCTGCCTTACACAGTAATTTTGCATCCTATCAAGTCATGTGTATGTGGCAAACTATTCATGGTGGCTTTTTTTTTAAAGAAAAGTCCTATCATATTCACACGTGTGTAGAGCCATAAATGCCCCTGCCAGTGTTCCTGTCACCAAACTGGTAACCCTTTAACATCTATCTGTCACCCCTGTGTGGTGTGTAAAGGGGTGGACAAAGAGCATAATGACAACAAGTGAGCCCACATCACTTCAGTTGAAGTCATTAAAAAAGATGCTGGGGAAGCATGAAGTGTTAGTGTAATGACTTTGACAAGCCCTCTGCTCATAAACGGGACCACCTTGAAGTAACGAAATATTTGGAGTATGAATAAAGAAATGATTGCATTTTTTAAAATTTCCCACTTGAGTTTCATTCAATCCACTGAATTTCATATCTGGTAAGAAATTCAGATTGCTCAACAGGAAGAGTACTGCTTAGAATGTTACTTGATAGATACATCTGATATCAAATTAAACCTGTGTAGGATGAGTTCACACATCACTCCATTGTAACTAAAGTAATCATTAGGGGCCTTTGAGTCATTGGTATAAAATTACTATGGATTCATCCACTTTAAATTTATAATACATGTCATTAATTGAACTCAATTTGCAACCAGTCTTAAATGCCAGGTTTACATTTCAGCCATTTACATTACCACATCCAAGGAGAAAATAGATGAGAAAAAAATCTGAACCTTATCCAAATCTTTTTTTTTTCTGATGGATGTTCTGCAATAAAAACAGGTCTGGCAGGAGTAGAATTACTCTGATTAGAATTCCTATGGAAGAAGACACATCAGGGTCAGGTCTGATGTCTAGCACTGGTCATTTCAGCCATCAGGATGACCATCAGGTCAGTCCTCTTGAGCCATCTTCATAATGGACAGTGCATTTTATCAATGTCACCAATGTGCTATGGCAAACAAAGTGTGAACATTTGGGCTAACTGCACCAGTTTCTATATTTCAAATCCCCTGTAATTTAAGAAAAGACAATTAAATAGAGATAAATAAATGTACATGTTCACCACCGTGATGTGATAATTTTCATGGCACAGCACAAGTGACATGGTAATGATAAGATACACTGACCTTTGGTCAAATGTTTCAGATAAAAAAGACGTCTGTCTGGCGACAGCTTGACCATCATATCTCCAATCTATCTGACCAGTACTGACCACAGAGACCAGTTTGTCAAATAATCAACAGAGAAGATGTGGGCTGATTACTGATGTCAGCTGATTTTGTATAACTTAACTCAAAGTATACTACAGTTAATACTCTGAGCCGAGATGTTACTATTTGCTCCAGACTTAATAAATGAATGTGTTCCCAATATAACTAGTATGAAACACGGCTCACAAGAGATACAATTTCAGTTCCATTATGCATTTGAAATATCAAAATTTCTCAATTTCTTAAAATCCAACATTGCTTTGAATTTTGCAACATTTTTATAGAACATTTTTTTAATCATGCTCGAGTTCCCCAGGTTTAGATTTTTCTTTTTCTTTCCACTCAATCTGATCCGTAGATGAGCACTCAGTGAAGTCTCACTTTCAGCAAACAACACCACCTGCTCTCCACAGCCAAAACAATGGCAGCACTTTGATTACATGCCAGTGTTTTTATAGGTATATCAATCTACAATAATCCAAGCCAATAACAACAAACACTCTCTCCCCCCTCCTTTTGTACTAGCTCTAACCCACTTGACCTTACTTTCTCTCTCGTCAAATGCTGCTGTATTACCACCACTAACATTCCAGTTTTCCTTCAATCAGCAAGGCTGTGAAAAGGGGAATAATGATCAAAATCCAGGCCCATAGCCAGCAGTTTCAAAGTGGAGGGGGTTCTTTTTCCAAAAAAAATGGACCTTTTACAATAAAACTTTTGTGTACCTAGATCAAATTTTACCAAGAACGGACCTTTTTCTGACAAAAAGGGCGGTTCTTTTGAACCCCCCCCCCAAACCCCCCTGGCTACGGGCCTGAGATTGGTATACAGCACTAACAGTATGTGTGATATACAAGGTTTTCCTTATTCTAGTTGTACTGTCATGAACAGCACATCACCTAATACTGCTACATATGTTAGGGTTTCACTTTTTCTTAAAGGCATTATTATGGTATATTGAGAAAAAACAGAATATGAATTTTATTGAGAAAAAACAGAATATGAATTTAATTTTCCACAATGCTCATCTCTGTCAAGTCTCTGGATCCTGACAGCCATTTTCTTCATCACCCTCTGGAATGTTTCAAGAGGGATATCACCATTTTTCCAGGCAAAAGTTGTCCCTGAGTTGATAAAGTGTCCTTGGTCTTTGCATTTTTTTGCATGTTTCTTTTTTTCTTTTCCTTTTCATATTGAAGAGGTGATAAAAGTTACATGAAAGAACAGAGACAAAAATGTTAGAGATCTTTTGATATGAACGGACACTGAATTTGAAAAACCCATGTCCTCATGGAATAAAATCAAATAATCAGA